ATGATATAGATCTATGTCGCTGTTGGCATGGGATGCCTGAACAATAATCAGTCTGAGTTAGACTTTAGAAAAAGGTAAACCTAGCCGAAGTGTTTTTTGTCCTTCAATGACAAACATCAGTCGGAACCTCAGCGTATCTCTGCGATTTTAAAATGTTGCTAAATTCAAACTGACTGTACTAAGAAAGCGAACCATTTCAAAGTGTCTGTGAGGAGATATTATTTTCAAAATCCCATTATATATTTATTTATCAATTTGTATGCTCAACTCTGAATTTTTGCAACTTGATTTGAAAATAGTTCTTTATACAGAATGTGGTATTTACGAATAAATTAATTTTCTAAAAAATATCAATTATAGTTAAGATGCTAATCTTAGACTGCAGAGGAGGAAGCACAATAACAGATTCATGGACGCATCTGATAGGAAAATCGGGCTGCTCTATCACCGTCATCACTACTGATGATGATTTTGATATAAATTGTCATTAATGATTTCATTCAGCACTTTGCCTGTTAAATGCTAACTTAATTGCCGTTAGGTAAGTTAGAGAGACAGCACTCTAAAATATTCAACAAACAGCGATAAAGAGACGAAAATAATATTGCAATAGAAACAAAAGTATTGTGAATCAGCTATCATACAAAAGAAAATGTAGGGTTTATTAACTCAGGATATTATTTATTCTAGTCGTTTCTTGAACGTGTCGTCCCATGCTTTGCTCAAAATCTTTGTTTAGGGGTAATACGACCAGATTGTGAAGCTAACCGCTTGTCTGCATCAGTCGTTCAAGTTAGGAATGTTTAGAGCTTTACCTCCAATCCTCCGAAGGTATTCCTGTCATTGTCCTGTATTGTTAAGTACAGGGCAACTTCAGGATACGTTCCTCGTTTCGTGTGATTTCATTGGCAAGTTGCAGGAACTCGAATATTATGCTCCCGAAATACTGGGAAACAATCCAGTGATAGGATTTTTCGAAAAATAAAACACAAAGCGTTTCCGTACAAAATATTTTTATTTCTGAATTCCGTTTAAGAAGAACCCTGCCTCAAGAAGTGTGACTTCAGCCACAAAAAAAATAAAATACAAAAGTATGGAGGCCCAGTTCATTTGAATCATTCTTACATTTAGAAGTGATGGTAGTGTTCTGGTCGCAATTAATTTATCACGTTAATACAAAACGAAAGGATGAGATACGCATGGTTATTATCACGAACACATGAAACTTGTGACCTATTTATTTCATTTGATCTTGACAATTTTTAAAACACAAATGGAAAAATATATTTCGGTTGAATAACCGTTTAGATGAATTAATGATCATACGTTTTCTCTTCCTTCAAGAATATGTGATTTTTTTTATTTTTCAGTGTTTGTGATTATCCTACAATTCATCAATATATTTATGCTAATTATGTTTCACGCCTGTATATAGCCTATTGTTTTATTGTTGATAATATTAATATTTATAATTTAATTTCAGCCTGTGATTAACTTCCATCAATGCCATGCTTTAATTTTCCGCAGAGATGTCTACATTTTGTTTAATTTCAAGCTACTGTACAGTTGAAATTTTATGTCCTTGCAACGGTGTTTCTCAATGGACTGCAGGAAGTTGTTTTACTGCTTGGGAGGCAGTGTATTGATTTAACATCTCATCGAGAATGGACAGGAGGTACAAAAGCCTTTCGGTGTGGGGTAGTGGAGAGCAAACTTCCAGTGCAATATTTCGTAAACATTTTTAAATAAATACTTCCGAATGTGGAGTCTTGGTATTTAGACCTACAGTTATATCATGATAACTGTTCTTTTGTACAAAGTAACTCGTTTTACAACGAATGGTCTTTGAGAAACACCGATTTAAATGTCACTACCTTAATTGTAAGACAATTGTTTCAGTATCTCATACTAAGAAACCTAATACCCGTATTCTAACGACGTAAAAAGCCTGAGCAACGTTTCTTATACTGTTGCTGACTTCACTTGTACTATACTATACTATGTATATATGTATATATGTACATTCATGTCCATACTTATGCATAGAAGGATGCGGTGTATGTACAGAAAGATTATCTGTGAGCAGTATCGAATCACGGCTTCTCCCTTAAGTGCTATCACTGCACTTTCACCTTACGCTGATATACGAGTTTTTTTTTTAAGTTTTTAAAACTTTAAAAACTTTAATATACCAAGAAAGCTGCTGTAGTTGTGGAAAAGTTGGATTTTGTATATATTGTGCATTACAAACATTGTATGTATAAATATTTTAACACTAAAATACCCATTGTGATTGTAGTTTCCAAAAAGTATCGATGAACCTCTGTTGATGGTCTATAGGGACCGAAACATGTAAGGGTGTTAAGTTTTCAAGTAGTAAAAACTTCAATAGTCACACTGGACGGAGTTGTTTTGCCTTTGTAATTTGTTAGTGTGACGGACCAGAATGAAACAAATCAAATTAAATGCAGAGTGGTTAGCGAAAGGACTGTAAGTCAGTTTATTGCCACCCCGTTCTCCCGACATTACTTTATGCTGTTTCTTCTTGTGGGGGTAAATGCAATATGAAGTCTATTGAATTAGCCCATGGTGTGAAGGAGAACTAAGAAATAAAAAACGTACAGCTTGAAATATCCGGTGTATTCATACACCAGCTACAGCGTTTTTGCCGGAGTCTGTTTAGGTGTAAAGACTGTATGCTCTAACGTAGGTACGTAAACTTTGTCGTGCAAGTTGTTACCCTTGCCCAGTGATGGCAACTAATCCAGCAGAAAACGCGGCAATTGACGCAGTAATTCAGCGCAGCGGAAAGGTTATGCTTCGGCTGAGCCCTCAAATAATCTGTCTGTACGTGTGTGCATGTGTGTGTGCGCGTCACTCTTCGCATCACTGGGCGATGTTGGAGAAAGGATCTTCGATACTCGGAATTTTACTCTATGGCCATACGGCTGTTAGCCCGAGATATCGTATTGCAAGAACATTTTCTTTTTCTTCACACGATTACAACATTATCCCAGACTACACGGTGTATAACACAGGAGACCACAATATAAATATCATTTCTCTTTCATGGAGCACATATTTGTGGTAGATGTCGAATTATCTTCTGCTGTCTCATAATATACACAAAAAATGTAAATCTGCTGGGCATACCTGTAATTCAAATAGTCATCATTCCAGTTACTCCGTATTCACTAATCACCCTATCATGGATGCCATACGTGGTAGAGTCATTAAGTTCGTGGACTGTGGTTTTATCGCATCATATTACAAGGTATTCAAATACACTTACACAGATCCACATCGGCCCTCAAAATAGTCGCCGTTGGCCGCTATGCAAGTCTGCCAACATTGATATAGCTGCCGAAAACACTGCTGAAACATACTGGCAGGAAATTCCCGTACGGCGTCTCTAGTGGCATTGACGACCTCCTCGGACTTCTGAAATCTACCACCACGTAGCTTTGCTTTCAAGTGGTGAAAGAGATAGAAATCGCACGGTGCGAGATCGGGTGATTACGGAGGGTGTGGCAAAACGATGACATGTTTCCTTGCCAGTTCCTCTTGGACAAGAACAGAGCGATGTGCAGGGGCGTTGTCGTTTAGCAACAGCCAATTTTTCCTACGCCAAACGTTTCGCAAGGGGATTTGCCTAGTTTTTGGCAGAACTTGATGTTTGCCCGCTGTTCAAAGTGCCACATTTTCGATTTCCGCCACTTGCATTTAACTGCAGTTCACCATAGAGGCCGTAGTTCTGCTTACACTGCTTGCACACAACTGTCTCTTGCTGTGACGAGAGATGAACTGACAGGGCATCATATAGTGCCTCAACCTATTCGCTGTAGTGCACTGCAACGACGCCTTGCGTCCAGTCCACGAACTTATTGACTGTGGTAGTGTAATTTCGGTATTGACAGCGCCTTTAAATAGCAAACAGTGATACATAATTAAACTAATAACATAACATTAAGTGGTGTAAGTGAAACGACATATTTATGCTAAATAAATTCAACATTTTTATCAAATGGCAGGCACAAGACTTACTTAAAATACTAAGATTATAAAACACTGTATCTGAGAAATATATAAAAGTGCACCTCGGAGCCTGTTTAGTTATCATACTAAACCGAAGGCTGGTGTAATTTTAGATTTTATTGTTTACGTCTGATAATGTGTGAAACGCTGATACGAACCATACAGTGCGTATTTAGTGAAGTTTCACAGGTTATTATGTCGCCACATTTACAGGGCTGCTGCAATTTTTGTTTCCTCAGATTTAAGCGAATAAAGTCGCTCATGATGTCCGTTCTATATTGATTAAAGTATGATCCTTCTTATACGGGACACTATGCTACAAGCCGGAAGGTCGCGGGATCGAGTCCCGATAAGGTGGATTATTTTTAATTTACCTAATCCTTCCAGCCGCACTATGGCCCTGGGGTCGACTCAGCCTCTAACAGAAATGAGTACCAGGAACATTCCTTGGGGGTAAAGGGCGGCCGGCGCGTAAGGCTGACAAACTCACCGCGATGCGTGAGTCGATTTTCTAGAAAAAATATGGGAGCCTCATCAGCTCACAACCTTGTGAGCCTCCACGGCCTGTTATAAGGATAACTTTACCGTACCTTACCTTCTTTACGTCGAGATAGTCTATACAATTCCAAATAACGACGTTCCGTCTCGTATAATATGTATGTGATAATTATCCATGGAAATAAAATTAAACTAGACGAAACGCTCTGGTAAAGTGCTCATTTCGTCGTATTTACATCACAGACCGCACTAATGATAACTAATACAGAATGACGAATCACTCACTCACTCACTCTTTCATTCACTTCAGAAATTCAGTCATGCAGTTACTAAGATTTTGCGAATTAACTGTGTACTAATGTAAATATTCAACCAACTTCGATTAATGATATGCAGACGAATCCAATGTCGGTGACGCAATAGATGTTTGCATAATTTGCCCCTCACATGTTTGGTTTCTCTTTTAGGAGAATAGGAAGTTACGACCTGGCGAAGTCTTGGATGAGAGAAAGGTGAGACTGACTAAGTGATTGATCGTACTTTTGATGGTGCGAAGGTCACATATGCCATTGTTCATTTTCATTATCATAATACATCATTTATGGCTCCATTAATTAATGCAAAGTTTTTATTTTCAGTTGTTTCGTTTGTCAATCTTTTAAGTTTCCTTGCTTTACATAAAAGATGCTTATGATTTCAGTTGATTTAATCTTCTTTTAAAGATTCGATTTACTGATAACTGAGAAATACCACGTCCGTTTATTTGTTCTCGTACAAGAGTCACATTTTCTTATCTATTAATGAAATCCTACAAATTGGAATGCTTTAATTTTATTTTTTCTTGTTTCAACAGGATTTCATTCTGTGAAATGTTACTTGTACCGTTTGATTGCGTATCCCTGTTTTGTTTTGTCTTGTCTTGATGGTCCCAGCACCCCTGCATCAAGCAAATATGAGTTCTTCAAATTTATTCCCAACCGTCTGGCTTTATTCCTTGTTTCATTTCATTTGCTTTCATTTTAATTATTTGTCTACAGGTTGGAAAACTGCGGCCTGGTGAGGTATTAGATTCAAAGGTGAGATTTGTGTGCAGGTAGCACAAAGCTGACCTCATTCTTTGGCATATCTTTTGATTTGATTTGTTTTTTGGAACTAGATTATTATATAGCTCATGTGTCTAACTACAGTCTGTATTTACTTGTTTATCTGGATTGGTTTTCCTGAATATCATAATATCTCATTTCTTTTGAAGAGATATTTGCTAAGTCACAGAAATTTAATTAACTATTCCACGTGCTTCAACATTATTATATATGGATAATGATTAATTATTTCTTTGTGTGTAGGACGTGAAACAAAATTTACTTGAATTTTTGTGTTTTCATTTATCCACTGACTTCAAAAATTCAGTTTTGGGGAATGGACGCAGAAATACAATGCAACGATGACGAGGTACTCATGTGATACATTTTATGGAAATCCAGTTATATATTAGTCTCAATTCAGATGCTAAGAATGCCAAAGAATTACAGCATTTTATATTTTCGTTTCAGTTTGATCTGTATTGTTTTCATTGCTTGCTTCACTTTATTTCTTAAATAATTTGCTTTATATTTTTAATTTTTTAGTTCAGTTATTCATTTTACTGATTATTTTATTATTCATAAGTTGTGTATTATTTACATTTATTATTATTATTATTATTATTATTATTATTATTATTATTATTATTATTATTATTGCTCTACAGCCCTTCGTTGCGCCTTGGCTGCCTTTTCAGTTTCTTGATCTTATATACACATTCGGTAGGAGTCCNTTGGATGGAACATGTCTCTCCTTAAGATAGATTAGAAAAATGATGCTTTATAGTTAAACAAATGGGCTTTTGTTCAGTTAAATTAATTACTCAAATGTGCTGTTAACAACATTAAATTTGTAAGGGACCTAATACCAACGAATGAAGATGTACGAACTCTGAAATTGCTATGTTAAACTTTTGATCATACTTACTGTAAGGCTGTAGCGATCCTAAACAATCGTCAATGTAGGGAACGTGATGAAAAACGCATTCCCCTCTGTGTTGTGCTAAACGTAGTCGTTCAAAACAAATTCTCTTAACTATATAGACAGTATGATACTCGTATGTTTGTGTAGATGTCTTACTTTCCAGCATATTTTGTGGTTCCTCTTAATGACTTTTACGTAACACAAATGCTACTGGCTCTCCAAATTAGATCATTTAATTTTTGGAGAAACAATTATAAATAAATATGTTAAAACAATAATAATGTAAGTTATTTCTCATATAAAAAATAACATTAATTTTAATGGCTGTATGTGAGCCAGTGTATGTGAATAGGTACATAGGCGTATTATATTTCAAACACGTCCGCGAATTCTTAAGCGGAATATTTTGTTAAATCTTTGTCCTCATGCGCATTGAAGTTTTTATAGGCATGAAAATTTCAAAAATGAATTTCATGTTCTTTTTCTGACTTAAGTGTAACGGTTGCTAACCATTAACAAATTTGTTTTATTTTACATTTTATTTTTGTGATTTTATTAAGAGTTTTCCATTTTGAAAGAACAAGAGCCTCGTTGTCTGACTTGATATCCTGGTTGTGTAGCTTGCGCTGATGGCACTAGATAGTTGTTGATGCCTCGGCCAGCAATTATGCAGCTGTATATTAATAAACGATGCTGCATTCTTAGCGCCTTTTACATGTTGTAGAATAGAAGCCTCACAATCGACGCGGAACCTATCTGCCTGCCAGAAGTGATACTATATGAACATTTTCTTTTCTTGTAAGATTTGAGGTTTTCACGGCGGTGACTATGAAGAAAGCAGTCTTCTGGGATTTGGCACCGTGTATATGTGGTGTTAACCGACGTTTCGGAGGAACGTATCGCCTCCATCTTCAGGGTAGAAGGAAAACTAAGAACCGGTACAAGCAGTCTGCTTGTACCAGTTCTCACGGTCTCTTCGCCTGCGGATTTCTTATATTTTTTCTTCTACCCTGAAGATGGAGGCGATACGTTCCTCCGAAACGTCGGTTAACACCACATATACACGGTGCCAAATCCCAGAAGACTGCTTTCTTCATAGTCACCGCCGTGAAAGCCTCAAATCTTANACATATACACGGTGCCAAATCCCAGAAGACTGCCTTATTCATTTTCTTTTCTTATTTTCTTTTGTTTATTACAGTTCTATTTCTTTTTTTCGGTTTTTTCTTTATTGTATTATTCTTTTTAATTTAATTTATGTTTACTTTTTCTACATTTTTATCTGCAATTATTATTTCATAATATATATCTTGAAGACTCGTTACTAATATTTCCTATTTATCCTGTGTGTGCTCCTCGTACTATTCGGTGTTGGTTTTAAGTGTTGTATGTAATTGTGTACGTGTAAAACTATTCCAAAATAAGGTAAGTTAAAATCAAATGCTCTGTTTTTGGGCAGTAGGAATTATTTTACTTCGTAACTAAGATATTCAGATGTTCCTAGCATTCAACTTTCGTCACTACTCAATACTTATGCCACATCTTTTGTCAGTATTTCTTTTTTAAAAATACTGTTGAAATATAGCATGGAAAGAGGCGAAGATATAATTTTTACGTACTCTTTTTGAATGTTTCTTACACACAGCAGGAATGGTAAATCAATGCTGTGATATATTAATACCTTTCTAAATGACGGAATTCTCTATCAAAGTGCTGTGTCAAATATTGAAATCTAATTGCACAAATGTTTCATATAATCAGGGGAACTTATATCTCAGTGTTTTAGAATTACTGACATTTTTCGAACTGTAATTACAGCGCAGAAGACCAAGTGCTGATGTACGACGCCCTAGCGTCGCAGAATTAGGAGAGATGATCGACAAGCCAAGCACTCCTCTCAAAGCCATTGGGCCACCTGGACCACCATCAATCGTTGATATCCAGGAGAGCTACTCAGCAGTGGAAGGTACGTAAATGTTTATTAGCATGAAGTACCCAATAATTTGAAATCCACGATATTCTAACCTCTGACTTCGTTTCTAGCAGAGCGAGTTGTTTGTGAGAGAAGGAGAATATTGCAAGAACGCTAATTGAAGTTGCGAACCTTTGGTATACACGGGGTTCAACTACTTAAATTGGCACATAGGAACATACTTTTTTCAGTAGAGAGTTAAGAAAACGTTTTATATTGTAGACAAATGTTGAGATATTTGCAAATGACACTGACGCATAAAAATTTTGTTCTGGAAATAATTACAAGCCATATAAATTCTATGAATGCGTCCTACCACTTACCTCAGAAGCTTTTTTCTTTCGATCTGCTGTGTAAAGTATGCAAATTAAAACATATAACACAGTAATTTTGCCCTTTATTTTTAGTAGTATGAAATATGCTTTTTCGCGCTAAAGGAAGAATGTAGGTTGAGGCTATTTGAGAACAAGTTGCTCTGGAGGATATTCTGAACTAAAAGTAAGGAAGCAAAAGAAATCAGAAGAAAAGTGAGAAATGAGGATCTTCGAAATTTTTACTCTTCACTACATATCATGAGGATGGTACAATTCCGGAGGATGGGGTGGATAGGGCATGCTAAAAGCATGAGATAAACGAGAAATGCTTATATCTTGGTTGGAAAATGTGAAGGGATGACACAGGTGTGAATTGGCTATAAAATTGTCACGTAAAATGAGTGTGACTATAGACAGGGTATGGATAGATGAATGGATTTATTGACCACTTACACACACCATTGGGAACTACAAGTAATTACAGCACTATCGCTAATCTCCACACCCGCTAAGATTTTCTAGCCTGTTGTGTCTTCATCAGCCATTCCCTAGCAATGGCTTCTAACAGTGGAGATTCTTCAGCTTCCCGCGCTCAGGTCCTATCTTCATATCCTCCCGCAGAACTCAATCCTCAGCTGACTACTGACAAGTAACTGGGTCAGAGTCAAAGTCACATTGCAACTGACGGTCAGGCAGTCAGTAAGTCTTGGTATCGAGCCCCATCTAGGGCAGATATTTATTACTGTTTGACAGTTACGGTCTTGTTTTTGTGGGGTGCTCTCTATGATGGGAGGACGGGTCTGTCTTTTGTACTCGTATGTGTTGCTGGCCCTTGTCAGTGCAGTATTTCTCGGGTCCAAGTCCCTATCAATGGCTGTTGTCTCACTGCTTTTTTCGATGTCTTTGCCTAGCAACGGGTCTATATGCCACAATATTAAATTAGATTTTACAGAACTGGAGTGAGAAGATCTGGAATGGATTAATCCGACTTGGGATAGGAACTGGTGGCGGGTTTTTATGAGCACGGCAATGAACTTTCGGGTGCCATATAAGACGAAAGAATCAGAAGCATCTGATTGACTAGCGGACACACAAGGAGGTTTGTGGTCCGAGTAGTCAGTTAGCTAGTTAGTTAATGTAGCAGAGAATATTTCTGAGCACAAGATGACGCCGTGTCTGACGGTATCCTTTACTCTAGAGCAGTCCTAATTGTGTATCTTACATTTTGCCTGTGACTATTTTCCCGATGATCCCTGGTAATTTATATGTTGTAAATCCTGTTAAAGTACAAACAATATATTGTTTGCACTTGGGGCGGAGTTTGTATCATTTATCGTGTAGAGTGCAACAGGATGCTTAAATATAATATCACGTTAAAGTGTTTTCTCTGTAGGGGTCACGGATCTTCAGGGAAGTTCTGGTGTTCAGAACCTGGGTTCGGTTCCAACCGTTCCTGCTCAGCTTAATGATAATGATAATAATAATATTAATAATAATAACAACAACAATTGTCAGAATTACTGGGTTTTTGGAATTTGTCCAACTTTCGGTATTATAAAAACTAGAAAAAAGCAATGTTTTGGAAACCGGATCTGTTTCTGTCTTCAACTTCAAATCCAACCATCTGCCGCATGTGAAAAGAGGGTTGATTCAGAGTCTTCACAACATAGCTTTCACCACATGAAAAGAATGACAAGATCTGGGTAATGAAATTAACAACGTGAGATGTGATTTTCAGCTCAAAAGTTATCCTTAAATATTCATTGACTTGGTCATTAATTCCAAGGGTAGCAGTTGCCTGAATAAAGAGGAAAAGCCTCTGAACTCTGTGCAGTTGCCATCAGTGAAGGGTGTTTCAGAAAAGTTCAAATGTACAAGGAATCAATATAAAATTAGGAAGATCTTCGAAACTAAACACATTCTAAGAGAGTTCATTCATGAAAACCAACCCGAAAAGAGATCTGGAACATAAGGCAAACTGCATGTATAGAATTTCTTGTGAATGTGGCAGAAGCCACATTAATGCAACAAGGAGACTTCTGGCCGTGGGGCTCCGTGAATATAGACTCTTGTATTAACATATATGTGGGCCCTCTTGTACTCTGTTAGGCCTATATTGTGGTATAATTTGAGGACAGAAGAATCAAAATGTTGTAAATTAAAACTCCTTCGTTCCTTGTCTTCATAAGTGTCATGATATCTTGGAGATATACGTCATAACCTATATCTAGATTACTAGTAGAGTACATGTGCCAAGTACCTGAATTTACACAAGTACACTTGCACTCAGACAATAGTAAATTTAAAGGAGGATATGTATTGAGTTACGATCAGGGATAAGAATGATTTCTGAGAGCTAGGTAGACACTCAAGTGTCAGTTGAAAAGCCTCAGGAAGGACGAACACATGTTATGATTTTTTTTTCTAAATTCGCTTAGTTGTGGGTGGAGTCCAACTGGGTCCACTCAGCACGGCGGCCACCGATTGGCCTATTGTAGCCTGTCCCGGGTGATTATGATGATGGAGAATTTGGTGGAATGAAGATTGGCAGGGGAAGCCGAAGCACTCGGAGAAAACCCGCCCCAACGCCACTTTGTCCACCACAAATCCCACTTGACCAGACCCGGGATCGAACCCGGGACGCAGCGGTGGAAAGCCAGCGACTAACCGCTTGAGCTATGGCGCGGCCTTACAGGTTGGAAAGTAGTTTGTCGTCTCTCAGATTTACAAGCTACTTGCTAGAAAGGGCTTCTAAAAAGAAGTCTTGGAACAAATTATATGGCACTATTCACATCTACCCCCATTGTTAGGCCTGGTTTGGAAACAAGAATTATGTTACACTATATTAATTGAGATTTTCAATATTTTCATTTCGATATACATAAACATTTTTTTCTGAGTACTCTAGTAAAAATATAAAAACCTTATTTATCCTCTTTTTAGTGTTAACATGTCCAGCAGAGTGCAATGAACAGAAAATGTGATTCACACTCATTTTTGGTACCTGGCGATATTCTGAAACTTCCGATATTTTCATCCCGTGATCAAACATTTAGAATTTGTGTAACATGATTAATTACATAAACGAGAAGTCCGCAGTAAGCTGCCTTAGATATTTTGTCACACAAGTTAAAGGTATCTGAAGTTATATTTTAATTTATGTGGATTTCTGTTTTGTGTGTAGCAGACACATTCAGATTTGCGCATGTGTTTAGCAGATTAGTCTCACAAAGTCATTCAGTGTTTATGTATATGTATTGCAGATCAGATTGGCTACATCACTGTTCAGGTTGAAGGAAATCCAGCACCTACATTCAAGTGGTACAAGGTAACTAAATAACATCATTACCTAGCAAATTCATTTCTTGATAATCCATATTGTTATTTTCTCTGTAGTATACTGGAGAGTTATATCAGTTAGAGAGATTACTAGTTCATGTAATAAAACAAATCCAAAATGGGGTTGAACCAATAATTTGGAAGATAATTCCTAAAAGTATTCAGAAATAAGTTTCTTCACTTCAAGTGCGTGGAAAATATTAAGACCATTAAATTTAAGGAACGGTACTCTAAGTACAACTGGGAAGCTGCATTAATGTGTGCAGATGAATAGTTAACAGGATAGGAATATTGAATCAGTTATTAATAGTTTCAATGTAAATGTTGCATTGTTTATAAACAAATGATTATAAAAATATTGCCACAATATTTCTTGCATATTACTTTAAGCAGAAGTAACATCTTCAAAAATCTTACACAGGATATTTCGGTGGTACAATTATGTTCTTTTTAATTTAATATTCTTATTCATTAACATAACAAATTATGCATACTAGTCACTTCCATTAACTTAAATTTAAATCCTTCATGCTTGCTAACATTTTATTAAATTTGAGATATTTTAACTGTTAAAGTCTATAACTGGATTTATGTAACATTGAACTTTTGATAACTTGTCCGTCTTTAACTGTCCAAATGGATTGATTAGTTTGTATATCTATTATAGTATAAAAATATGCCATGACTCAAGGATATAAGTTACATTTTTTCAGTGTTTCTTTATGATAAACTTGATCACATCATATGAGAAATCAAGAAATCAAATAATTATTAATCAATCTGTAACAATTGCATTGCAAAGCAGAATCATTTAACAGAGACTAATATAGTAAAACCGCACTAATCTGGTCCTTGCTAACTTGAACTGCCTTTTCTCTTTACGTGTATTTTATTTACAAGAAGATTTCTCCTGAACAATAATTTAAAGATAAAATTTCCCACTTCCTGTCAGTTTAAATAAATAATGAAATACATATAAAATTAAAAGTTAAGTTATTACTTGGTTTAATTAATTAGGCACTGTGGCATGAGGACATGTGCACATGTTGAAGTACAGCCCCAGTATTCTTAACCTTGGCAGTAGATGGAGGCACATTTGCCCTTACTTACTACAAATTAGTGAGGTTTTACTATATAATAGGAATTGTATATGTGTGTAGTACCTGGTATATATATTAGATCAAGTGTAATTTTGTAATCTGAGCTATGCTGAAATGATTAATGGTTATTTAATCACTTGAGAAAATTATGTTAACTCACTTTATTGATACTCTTAACAGACAACAACTCCAAATTTTCTTGTAATACAACAAATACACGTTAATTTTTTGTGTTTTTCTTCCTCCCAGGGTATAACAGAAATTATTGAAGGCGGTCGTTACAAGTTCCTGACTGATGGGGAAACGAACACTATAACTTTATGTATGAGGAAAGTTAAGCCAAATGATGAATCAAAATACACAATTACAGTAAGCAATGAACATGGGGAAGATTCAGCTGAGACACAGTTGTATGTCTCAGGTAAGTTTTCATTTCATATTCCTGTGAGAATTAGATGTTTCCCTGAATTAATTTTGCAATAAGAATAAATAAATAAGCACTGTATATGCTTTATATTATACTGAATTAACACATTTAACTTCTAACATTGAATAAATTTGACTAAAATTTTAATTTTTAAATTTGCTTTGAGAGACAAGAAATTTATGCATTGAGGAAATTCATTGTGATATGATTGGCTTTGGTTCACTTAAGCTGAAAGTTAAATAAGGGAAATTATTAGCTTACTGGCCAAGTGTTTGATTTTTTCTACTATAAATGCCTATATAATTCAATATTGTCATTTCTTCATAATGATATTCCATCTGTTGCCCAGTATGAAAGGAAAATCATGACGCATTAAATGACATTCAAGACTATAGGGGAAACTAATATCACCTAAATTGGGGACATTTTGGGCAAGTGAAAATGTGAGAGTAAAAGTATTATTTACTAAAAATTATGTTTTAGAACGTACTTAAGGGAACAACCATTTAATAAAAATGTGCAAAACAGTGCTACAAGTGACAGAGTCATGAAATCAAATACAAAATATGATGAGCATGCTACAGTTGCTGTCCAAAAACTGTGGATTTTTTCCTTGGCTTGCAAAACCTTTAATAAGCATAGGGGATAAAATATCACAAGTTAAATCTTCTCCATAAAACTGGGGAGGGTGCTGAGATTTTATAGATTTTCAGTTATATCCACTGAATTATTTATTACAACCTGTAATTACCAACTACTGCTCTTGCACTGGTTATGTTACACAGATGCAAGTGGAATGGATTTCCGCACAATGCTCAAGAAACGCAAGTATGCAAAATGGGCCAAGGAAAAGGAAGATCCTGACTGGGGCGAGTTGAAGGAGGTGGAGAAACCAACTACAACACTAAAGAAAGTTGAGAAAGTAAGTCATGACTTTACATATTTTCCTTACAAGAAGTGTGTACAATAGATTTGATTATGTATAATTCATATAAAATGCACATGCAAGAATGAATCAAAATTTAAAGGAAATGCCCATGCATTTAAACAAAGTTTATAATTCTATTAAGCTTCAGTACCTTAGTTAGTTATTCCATGACGGTGTAATGAAATTGTACTTTTACTGTTATAGGAATTTCTGTACACATTCATAGTAAAAAGTAAAAGTATCCCTGTGACAGGCTGTGGAGGCCCATAGAGTTGTGAGATGTTGAGGTTCCCACATTTTCTAGACAATTGACTTATAGATGGCAGCAAGGTTGTCAGCCTTATGTGTCAGCTGCCCATTACCCCCAAGAATATTCCTGGTATTCATTTCTGTTAGAGACTCAGTCAACCCCAGGGCCATAGTGCAGCTGGAAGGATTAGGTAAATTGCAAAAAATCCAATGATGTCATCAGGATTTGAACCTGACCTTCTGGCTTGTAGCATAGTGCTTCAACAAACTACGCTACTGCTTGCCCCTTGTACACATTCATGGTAGCATTAGTATTAGCATTAGTAGCCACAGATTATGCTGATGCAAGAAGGAAATTGAGGACATTCTTTTTAACATAAATGCAGACATATACACTCTAATATACCTGTACATCATCATCATCATCATCATAATCATAAGTAATCTGTCAGAGAGCAGGTCCAGTCTCTTCCAAAACAATTCCTCCACTTAATGCGATCTAGAGCTTTCTCCTTCAAATGACAGTCCC